ATATATAGGATGAAAATATAATACAGGTGCTATTTACATGGCAGCAAAGCTCTTTAGCTCTAGGATAATTGTTCGATGCATTCTTCAGAGCTTCGTATTTGCTGGTCGTTATGAATATTGGTGGTCGTTCGCTTATCTTACATTACGACATATTTATCTTAATCTTATCTCTTGTGGTAACCGGCTAGCGGATGCGTTCCAGACGCTCCTGTTAAATTTACAATTAATTTACATATTTCTCTTATTGTAAAGCAGGACCTAGGTGACATCGGTGTCACTGGACGAATTAACCCTGTACAAATGAAAAATCAAAGGACAACCATTACGAGGTCTTTTCTAATGCTGCGCTATACTAACGAGCTAGTTACAACGGATGATATTGCTCTCAATCTTGAAGTCGAATTATGTTCATATGAGGTAGAATCGTTTCAGAAATCAATATCATATATTTTGTCCGATGCAGTCCCTCATTTTAATTGGTGGATCTGATCTTGTCGATGAGACTCTTGATGAATACGCCGAGGTTTACCACGCTCTGCAATACCAACCATCAGTAATAAGTTCTTACCGTATGGATTTGTTTGTTGCTGGCGATATTTGATCGTTATACGTTACGTATGCACTCAAATAAGATACTTTGCACTTTGTTAAATCGCACTAATAGAGTAATCGCTGTAATTAGATATTTTCGAAAACAGTGGCAGGTTTCGAGCAACAAAAGTTGGTTCGACTTCTAACGTATGCAAATACGTCATACATTTGGTGAGTGGATCCTACCAGTAGTAGTAGTATATTGGTTCATGTTACACAAGAATCTTTAAGTTACAGCCTTGAAATTTTGTTAAAACATCTTAAAAATCACTTAAAATCATGTTTGCAAACAGTTACAACAATTAAAGGTCGAAAAAAACTAGCGGTTGCCTTTTTTATTGGGTGAACTTACCCAGAAAAGAAGCAGGATAAAGATAAACATCGATCCCGTCCGATATTGAAATCTTTCTACGAGGTAGCTGGCAATCGGTGGAGTCACTATTGCCCTGTGATTATTAGTAAGCATTAAATATATCGTTCAAACGTGATATTGGTAAGATCAATGCGGACCCTTAGCTAATGAATTTGACTACTGAACGCTTCTAGAACAAAAATTGTATTGAGGTTCAGATTTTAGAAGTCGACGCTACTTCTAAGACGACGTATTTTCGATCTGTATGATCAGGTCGAAGCCTGGTGTTTTTAAATACTAGGCAATATTTGTATATACAAAAAAAATATTAGGTAAGTGGCTACTGCTGCTTACCCTAACACCATGAAAATAAATGTGGCACTGGCTATGACGCCCGATGTCTTTATGTTGCCAGGATAACCAGCTTTACTGCAAAGTGAGTATAATGGAAAATTGTTAGAGCTTTAAGTGACAGGTAAACCAAGTTTGCAACAATAACAAACCTAGTTCCTCATACTGTTTGATCATGTTTCCGTTAATTGCATTAATCTTTTGTTTAATTGGAAATGAATCTAATGCTCAACTATAGGCCTTAGAGTTTTGCACTAAGCATTAGCTGTTTTCAACCTAATAAATACAGGCTTCACGAAAATTGAGTTCCTTAGTATCTAGCCAACTTTTTTTTAAGTAGTTTTCTCACTCGGATGTGTTTTAGGTCTGATACTGTTGCTAAGTGTTGCTTTAGACGGCTAGCTAAGAGCACGAAACGAACTATGTTTACGCCCGGTTTCGAACCTACTGCTGTTTAGTTTTCTGTAGCTCACACAGCTAATATTCTTGAGTATAACAAGCCAACACGTTATTATGTACGCAAGGACTAGATGTAAGAATTTTACTCCCAACAATCTTAATTTAGTTGTCAATAGGCGATATCACACCCGGTCTGTCTGAGCGGTCAAGCTAGGGTCGCGTTATGTCCAAGGGAGGCCACCAGTTACTCTTATGCTAATTTAATAATTACGTTTTCTAAATAGAGGCAAACGCCGTTTTAAGGTGTCTATACCCAATGCCTCTCTGCACTCTCTATGCAAGAAGAGAACTTACATTGAGATCTTCAGAGCGTGAGCAAAGCCGCAAACGAATTGACCAGCCATTCCTAGTCCGGTGAACACTTGTGAAAGATAGATGAAGCTAAGTTTCCTGGAATAACAATAGTCCATAAGTTCAATACCAATGCATGTATAGTATTATACATATCTCTGATTATCTGAGTTACACTTTGAGATTTTGCACATGCTCAAATAACCTGTCTACGGCTAACTGCGCGGTAAAACAGTTTTGTAAGAGGCCTACTTACGGTTCACTTTGAATAAAGGGTGCGGGGCCAATAACCAGGAACGCGAGCGCTGTGCAAAGCTGACCAAAGAATAGGAAGAACTCTTCTTGCTAAAATGAACCATCACGGTACATATTTGTTCGCATTGTAGTAATAAAGAATCATTTCCATTTTTAATATTTGATTAACTTACAAATCTCATTTACAGCAGAACCATAAAAAATGTTCATATTGCAAAGGAATTTAGCTGGAAAAATGGTATTCAGAAACCTGAAATTCAGAGAGACATGCAATGCACGAGGGGTGTTTTAAGGTCCACACTGAGTGATTAAGGATTCGTCTGACCCATCCAATTTTCCGGATAGTTTACTTTGTTTCAATAGGAGGAACGTATCAAATAAGATCGCCACACTCTACAAAAATTGTTCAAGTACGAAGGAGTACATTAAATGGGTACTTCACATTGGACTAATTAATCCGTCTGCATCTATGCGTGTTCATGTGATTTCCATAAGTATAAAATCTAAAATTAGATTTGTTGATTGTGTTGGATGGATAGTCGGCTAGGATGTTTGTTATTTTTGAAAGCATGAAGTGACAACCTATCGTTAATCTATATATTTTCACACGGTAAGAGTCGGTATTAGACTAGTCACTGAGAGAACTATTGATGCTAAGCGGAAAATTATCCCACGGAAAGCCATTATTACATTATCCATGTTTCGAGTTATAAACAGACGTGAAAAACTATCGTATACTTAACAAATTTAAATACACGAAAAACTAAAAATGACGCCGATTGAACTCTTTAGGGCCGCGCTCAGTATGCTTCAGATCCACACTTATAAACTACGCAACAGACACCAAAATGGTTTCACAGTTCAAACTACAATAAGCTAATGGCTAACGTCGATACTGATATAGGATAAAAAGTATCTGATCTATATTTAGCTGTGTCAGATCACTTTTTTGCCACGCTAAGCCTAATAACTGTAGACAAGAGTGATGACATCTGATAACGGTTGAATTTTAGACCTGTCAGCTACCGCGCTAAAAAAAATTGTATATTCTTAAACTGGCGGCGGACTATAGTAGTAGCTCTAAGCTACTATTAAATGTTTTACTGTTAACAATATTATAAATTGATGTGTTATATTAATTTTTAATCAGTAATTTTAACAAAAAATTTATAGAGATTATTGGTTTGAGAACTAGTTGTTGCTGTTGTCGTACTGGTTACGTACTGGCTGTTATTAAACTATCAATACATTTTTCGGAAGCAAGTTTAAAATATTGGTTTGCAACGTGGCATAACGTGGAAGGTAGCACGGTTTACGCAAAATTTGTTCTCGATTTAAAATACAGACAGGATCAATTTGGATGAATGCAACGAGTGAATAGGTTTGTGTGGCTTATTTCTTTTAAATTGAAAAAATTATTGTATTTTCAAACTGGCGGCAGATTATAGCTATGTAAAGAAATTATGTTGTGGCCGAGTAAATAATCGTATCTCTTGATCAGCATGTAGACTACAATTTCGGCTTGGGTTAACATATTTATTATCTCATGGTTTTTCATCTTTGCGAAGCAGCTACAAATTAAAATACTTTACCTTTTATACCCGATGAACGTATTTAAAACAATGAGCGAAACCTAGTTTCTGTCTATTCTCACTCAAAACGCAGTAAGAGGTTAAATCTGATCAAGTCGACGTTGTCTTGTGGTCAAAGCCACCTTGTGTGCAAATGACTTAGTGATATGCGGAATCAAGCCGGTTTCAAATGCAAGAAGCTCTAGCCCCGCTCCATGCGACAATGATAGATTCGCTACTGACCGTACATCTGAACAAGACGATGGCGATGAAATTTAGCTAGGAGGCAAGATTGCGATAACTGACACTTTGTACCTCGACAGGTCGCTTCTTGCGTATGTCAGTTTGTTTCTGTACTTCAGATTGCTCTTTCCCGTCACGGCAAAGATTTCACCGCGCACATTACCGAAAGATGCGAAAATGCAGCGTCGGCTACATGCACGATTAAATCGCCTCATCGCTTGTCCCTCGCCCGCAGCTTGCACGATTTCGAGATAGCTCCGATCGCAACGTATGGGATGCGCGTTATTTCGGATGATCTTACAGTGGAAAGTCTCGAACAACTGAACAGCTTCAAGATTACCTTTTTCAAAATAGCACTGGGCTTCACACTAAGACACGAAATCGCCTCGTGTATCTCCAGCACACTAGCCACTGCTGTCTGAGAGTCGGTCTGAGCTCCTAGCAACAAAAGTCTTGAGACTGACCTTAGAAATTGGAAGTAGACTTCCGTAGAGATTGGTGATGATTTCTTTGCTTTAGCTGCAAAGAGAAACAACGGGTAGGAAGGGACAAACCGGCTAAACAGACGTCATCAGCCGCTTTACCGTGCAAAACTCCCGCCATATCCCATGCGGGAAACCTGGTTCATACGAGCCTGATCATACATGTAGAGATTTCAGGTGCGGGTTGTGTGTGTGGGGGGAGGGGGAAACAAATATCACATCGTTCATCACCGCTTGTCTGTCTTTAGAAGATCTGGCAGAGCTTTCAAATTAGTTCTCTAAACTTAATAAGATTCATATCATTCGTTTGGCGCTAAACGTTTTAACTGTTCTATATTTTCACTCTGATTTTCTAAGTATTCGGCTATCACCACCAAAAATGAACAAATCTTCATTGATATCAATGTTATCGCAGATGTAGAGAACAATTCTCGAGCACAATCGGTACTTTACACAAACAATTTATGTAAAAATAAAAAATAATTACTTACGCCTAAATGGGATAAGATTCCAGAAATAATTGCACCAATTGCGTAAGATGCAAACTGTACGCAAAACACAAGGCCGACTCCTGTATTCGATAAATGAAACTGAAAAAAACAATGTTATCAATGTGGAAGCACGCGGCGATATTAGTAGACGTTATTTTTGACATTTTGCATTGCGTACCCAAGGAAACATATGTTCTAAAAACACGTTGAAACGACTAACCTGGGTCAGATAGCGTGCAAGCGTCGGTTCATTGAAGCTCATTACTACCCATGACAAGCATACGGTCACCATGTCAATGAGAAAAAGAGGTCTAAACACCATGCGACGATAGTCAACTTGACTCCCATTAACTGTATTCGTGCATGCACTGAGTTCAGGGTTACGATCTTGTTGATTTAATGGGTTGAATGATGACCTTGGAGCCAAGTCCTTTTCTGAATGACCTATATGAACCGAATTATAATTCATAGCTTTTAGGAAGGCGAGAATATAGCCTTACTAAGCATGTTCAGACTCACATTACAGCTGAGAACTAAACATGCTCTTTATAACTCTATTACAAGTTGTTTGTGATAATGGAAATTAATTACCATAGTATCTTATTTACAATAAAGCATCGTCAGCTCTGACTATCAGGTCGTATGAATCAGTTAACATGTATTTAGAAAACGAGATAGCGAATTTGTCAAATAGAGCTAAGCTTGATCGTACTTAAAATAAAGCTGTCATTTATTAAATAGTAAGCTATAAGCGGGAAACTGTAGGGGTACGTGGTAGCCTAGGTTAGAACTCAAGCGCGAACGCACATCGTTTGGTGCCACAGGCGAACTGTCTAATGCAATGCCTAATAGCGGTACTGGATATAAAAATCAAAATATTTTTAAATGGTTAACTTTTAAGAGATTCTGCCTTGACACGCCCAACAATTTGCAAGTGACACAGATTCGCCCTATGCACGCTACCAAGTGTGGCAGCCGTGAAAGGTACTCACTTCTGGAAGGTTTAATAGGTCCATTCTTGATGATTGTTGGAATCAGCATGACCATAATGATGCCTGACGCGAAGAACGGCAGCGAAAAATTCCAGAACTAATAGACAGAGCGCGAATGATAAGCGAAGGTAAATAATGGTATAGCTTCAAACTTCTCATGAGAACCTGATTTGCTTATGACAAACGCATGTGCAAATGACTTATAATTCAGATATGATATTTCTAATATTGGCAATTTTTCAAGTCGTTTTGAATATGGTATGTGATTATCGCGGTATTAAACACTTTTGTACTGCGTAACGTTGACTTCGGAAGTTTTCAGCTAAATGGTGCTTTTTCCGGAGCCAATACACTTAAGATTCAGGGTCGCGCATGCCTGTATATATATATTAGATGTCCCTAGTTGCATTTGAAACTATTAAACTTTTAGACCAGAAGAATTTCGAAATTATGTGATAGTATTCGTAGAGACTTAACGATAAGCTAGTCGTGTCAGCACAATAGCGTAGAAGAGCAAATGATTGGAAGAACCGTTGTTGTAGGGCACACAAAGATTGAAATGGCTGATGGGTAGTCCACATAATAGTCCATAGAAAGTTAATCTTAGATAATCCATTTCATTGTTGGATTCTATATGATACAGCAAGCTACCATCCATATTTCTTACATCTTCGTCGCAGTTATAAAGGGCGACAGTATTCTCGGATGTCAATAACAAGATCGAAATCATGCCGAAGGGGCAAAACAGAAACACATGTGTCGCGGTGATTGACTATTTTCTGTAGTCATCATCCTTTCAGGAAAGGAGGGGTCATGAAGAAACCAGGAAGTCACGTGGACAGGTGCGATCCTCGTATGGAGTAGTTCTTTGTTGAGGTGCCTTTTTTTAATACCAAATCGAGGTAAATACGAACGCCGATATTACGCACCATAGATTATACTTTAAGATTCATTTGTTATTGAGATTTCAGATCGGGTGTAAGTTACGTTAGTGAGCTTGAAGAATGGGTAGGTAAGCGGAGAGATTACGTAATTTAGGTATGCATTCGATCATTGCAGGCGGTAACGTTTTTATAGACACATACGCAGTTGTATCATAGCTTCCAGCACATTGTGTTTGGTTCCTTCGAAGCCAAACGTTTTGTGTTATGGTAAATATTTGGCTTTCTGAATGGTAATGGCTGACTTTGAGGACATTCACAGTAAATATATACTAAATAAGGTCGTCTTTTATCCTATATTTACTGCTATATTGTCTTTTTGATTGGTTGAGATATAATTGGGAAGAATTCCAAATATAACTGAAAACGCTAGTGTTTAGGAGATGATTTAATTTGGCTATCTCCGTTTTCAAGCCACAATCCCTTTAACCGAGGTACATTGCATGAGTACCGAGTAAAACCATGTTCATTAGAACACATAATGGTCATTTATTGCATGTTATAATATGGGCTATCCAACTGTAGGTTCTTTATCAGAGTGGAGTGCAGGGTAAGGCTTCTATTTCTTAGGTAGTAGTATTTTGAATCTTTATCAGTTTTAATTATAAGACTTAGAGTATTACCAGTCTATCTATGGCCATAACGCATTATACAATACAACAACAAAAAATTTAGTTATTTTTGAGGATACGATTGGTTTAGGGAATTGTATTATGTCATTGACCGTTTTCATGTAAATAATGCATTTCTATTTAGTTTCGAGTCGATTTAGGACAAGACTAATATTTGTATTATAAAAGATCCTTCACTACTGTCCGCTATTTTGGCATAAACCGAAATGTTGATCACGAAAACCTAGCCATTACGTACTGTCCACCGAGAGGCTTGAAAAAAAACAGTAAAGCTAGAAGCAACATCAAATATATCTATCGTATGGACAACTACTTACACATCCAGACTTCTTTGACCATTAGATATTCTTTATTAAATATAAGAGGTAATATTAAGGCCTATCCAGGCTTAAAATCTACTCGTTGCAGATAACCGGTAGCAATTGTTTCATTTTTAGAACCTGGCCAAATTAATCAATACTTAGTAGTATGCTCAAGGCTAATAAAGTGTCATGCGGTTTATGAAACGTAAATCACTCATGGCAGACAACTGAGGTCAGTCGTGCTTCTAATATGCCTAAATTCGCCACTGCTATTCACGCCTTACTCATAGCTACTTAATGTCTAGTTACTACCGGTTGTGTCGAATAGCATTGCAGATAAAGTCTAGACAAATAGCAAATAGGCATTATATTTCTACGGGTTTTTATTTGAAGTTGAAACTTACTTATTTGAAGTTGACTTTAAAATCGGCGTTACTTAATCATAACTTTCAAAAAAAGTATTAGACGGTATATATAAGGCAGGCAATCAAAAATAGACCTGCGTGTAAATGATACTGTGTTTGACGGCTTATGCCAATTCACTTACATCTATGAGAACTCCGCCGGCTAACGTACCCACCATATTACCAATGCCCCACAGAAACTCCATCGACGCCTGAAAAAAGTAGTAAGATATTGAATAGTTTTTGTGGGACGTCTTAAATGTGCATTTACGTACTGAAGTCGATAGTTGTCTTGCTTGTTTTGGACAAACCTAGAAACATGCAAACGGACTCCCATCTAATTTTTGCTTGCTCAACAGAAGAGTTTACCTAAATCCTAGCTTCTTGCAGCTGACGTGCTTGTATGCGCAATTCCCTACCTTAAATTGGAAATAACTTGATAACAAATAAGTGGAAACGACGAACAAGCAAACCCTCGTACAGTAATGAATAAAGCATTTGACTTCAAATCAGAAGATTACAGGCTCGAGTCGTGCCGATGACGAGCTACCTCAGCAACTCTGTGAATAGAAGCAGTTCCTTCCTTGTCCAATCATGTAAATGCAGATGAATAAAATTAAAACCGAGAGCAAAAAAACTATATAACTCGATGCGATGTTGCTAGTTATATTCCGGCAGAGGAACTGCAGGGTAAAGGAGCAAGCACACCTCCTTCGGAACTTATCAAATGGAACTGAATTCTCTGGATTGAATTTGTTCTCGAACTTTCCTTCGTGCTGTAGATTAAAGATGTGGGTTACAAATAAAGTGCACATTGATTTTTAGAAAAATAAGGGTGAAACGAAATCAGTTAATATTTTGTCGTTGTTTCAGTCTGCTGCTAACTGAAGAACGTATTTCGTACATGAAGGACTAAAATCATAACAGGATGGAAATTATCAGTCGTCTGTGGCCGAATCCACAGTACATCATTTTGTTTGACGCATTCTGGGATCCTTGCATTTTAAAAGATGTAAAGAAATTCACTTTTTCAGATAATAATTTCTTTGTTTCATTTGACAACTACCTTTTTTGAGCGTTAAATTTCAAATAAAATACATATACAAAATAAAATACATATATCAAATAAAATATAGATACAAAAATTATTATACAAGATATTCTATTAAGTACAATACTTGTAGATTTCTATGATTTTTTACAATATAATCGTTCTCCAATTAGATCTGAAATAATCGCCTTTCAAGAGCTAGAGCGTGTCCTGTACGATCAGCTAATCGATAAATAAGCTTTGTCTTTAATAACCGTTTGGTATGTACATTACCTTTAACATTCTTATCACTATTATATACTGATTCCTCTACGACGAGGATGTGCTGGCTTTATTTTATCACGGTTACACATCAATTATTGAGCTGCCTTAGATGCTTTGCTAGGAAGGTAGCCTGATTGATTGGATGTAATCCTTTCTGTTTGTAGAACACTACCGACCTTCATTTTCTGGCAAAGCATTCCGCGGGATCTAATTGCAACGTGTGATACATTTCTCTACTTCAAGGTAGAAATCCCTTGAGCTCGAAACTAATTTGCAAATTTTGGCGAATGTATAAATTGTAGTTAAAAACTTCGCTAGAAAAAGCAGCTCCAACAGTTGCAAGATAATCGGACTTCTACGACGTCCTTAATCTGTAGCGATATTTCGATACTACCCAACGGCTTAAAATTGCCGTTCGGGGTGTTGGTACAGAATATAACAGATTGATCTTTTTTTTAGGCGTACCTGGGGGAGTGCTCTAATAGCCTATTTGATAATTATAAGATGCCTGTAACAAAGGTAGACACAAAAAAATAAAGCGGGAAGTTAAAAAAAAAAATTGTGGAACATAGTGAATTCAACCAAATACGATCGTAAAGGTATTCTTTTAAGTGCCTATTCATGCTTTGAAACACTTTGAAAATATGCTGGATAATAACAGTTCCCATGTTTATACTAAAATTCTTCTTCTAATTACTGTTGTTAGCTTGTAACATCGGTAGTTTCGCCGTCATTAGTGCCGGTCTGTAGGCACATAGAAAGGTAGCCACAGCAGAAATCAACAGGTAGACTAGCAATACAGCGAAACCGGGTTCTGGTGAAAGCCTCCATGAAATTCATATGGTCGCAAACTGGGCAGCAAATGTATGAACGGCTGATAGTCAGTTTAGAGAGACGTGTATAGCATAGACAAGGGAGCGTAATCCAGATGCCGCCAGCAGCTGTAGCAATAAAAATCGTGAAATGAACGATCCTAATATTAGCTCTAGCGTTCTCCATAGTGGCTCGTTAGTGTGCACCCCTAGATAGTAGCTGACAGCTACGGCGCACATAGTATACTTTGAATTCACCTCACAAAGTTGGACCCACAACCGTTGACCTCACGTTTTATGCTCTTTTAAGGACAAACCTTTTCGGCGTTTCGTCTTCTACAAAAATACCGTTTGGCCAGGACAATCGACGGCAATCCTTTTCAATGCAGACCAACGTCATTTGTTTAAATCTGCTTTTAAAAACAGCCACCAGTTCTGAGTTCTCCGTAATATGACTGGAATGTCCTCGGGGAGCAATGAGGCACAATGCAAAATACACAAAAGAAATTAAAGAACTTTAATCAAGGACAGACCATAATAGATGTCGAACGATAGAGTTGATAAATTGAAGTGGAACCGTGTGCTGCTTTGAAAAACGGTCACAAAGCGATTTCTTGAATCAATTGAATTCAGCGATTATAAAGGTAAAACTATGCACAGCGACTTACAGCTCCTGCTTGCTTTTTTGCAGTTATGTACGGTCTGTCGCAACGATACTGCAATATATTTGTTTACTAGACTCAAGAACACTTTAGGCTAAATGTGGATATATTTTGTTCGGTCCTAGATGAGGCCAGCCACGTGAAGCAATGCTTAACGGCAGTCCCAAGCGTAAAACTTGAAATATATGTTCTAGCTACGTAACACCCGAAAGGTGGTAGTTACAATTGTTCTTCTGGTCTGCTCCCTCGAATAGCCCATTCCGCCCTGTCGTTTATGCGCTCAGGCTTCATAGCGGGTAGAACAAATTGCCATTACTGTTGCCACAATATGACCAGGCCTGCTCCTTGCGATCACTTTCAACGTGAAACAACGTACGGCTTTATTTATGACGAAAAACAGAATTATCTAGAGGTTGCAAAACGTTCAACGTTTGATCGAGATAGAGGAACAACTGTCTCTGCTTCCTCTACGTGCTTCAGCTCTGTGTTGACCGCGACGAGAGTCATAGCTACAGTTCAATCTAACAAATCATATAGTGCTCTGTAATTGAACTTGATTGAAATTCTAATTTATCCTAAGACAAATCACTCAGGATCTCTATGAATACGTACAATGATTAGGCCAGGTTTAGTGCTAAAACGCTCGGTGAGTATCGAATACATCGAAATTGAATACGAACACGCGAGAAAGCCTCCAACGACCGCGAGAGGAAAAGACAGTCCAATAAAGATATTTCTGTCATTCACCCAGAACAGGGATCTGAAAATTAATATTAGTAAACATTAATTAATGATTTGCAAAAAATTCAACAATCTATTTTTAGAAAATTCACCTATCTCAAGAAAAGAGCGTCCTCAGATGGTGATCCAGTGCGTGTTAGCTATTGTACACTGCTGTTACATTGTGATGACATGCGGACCGCCTCTAAACTTGGCCATACCTGTATAAAAGATTAGGTTTCTACCGAAATGTTTTACAAAATCGAATCAGGAAAAAATATGCTATATAACATACGCGATATTATTAACCCACAAAATCATTTTCGTTTATTCTTTGCGATAAGTAAATAGCACCCACTACAAAACTAATTGGGACCTACTACCCATAGCTGGTGAAATCATCATCTGGAAATAAGCCTGTGAACATGCTTTTCACATTATTTCCTATTCACGGAAACAATGCTCTCATATACTTAATTTCCCTTGAAGGTTTAAAATAGGTATCTTGAAGACTAACCCGATGCAGATGTCAAACAGGAAAGTTCCGAGCAGTCCAACAACGTACAACGGCACCGGACTGAATTTCTCGATCTAATGGATTTGAGGAACGACATAATTCGAATCAAGCGACAACAATTTTATTATTATGATGTATCATGTTTATATTCTTATTTAAACATTGTTTGTCCACAGGAGTGTCTTAGCTATCTAGTACTTCCCAGCTAACGATGTACGAAGGCATCAGGGGCAGTGTTACTTGACCAGCCTTCACCGCGCTAGGCATGTTTACCTTCAATCCAGACCTAAACTTTTATTTAGATGAGCTAAAGCCTCTTAGCATGAATTTCCGTTGAAGGCTAATGGAATATTGTTGGGTAGAGAGTCTCACCAGTCAAACTTATCTGGCCATTAAAGTCTCTAGTCACCTTTGCAGCCGAAGGTTGAACCTTGTCAGCTACCGCGCTACGTCGAGTACCCTGTGCACTCCTGAACAGGAATATCTATCATACAGAAAACTGTATATATTTTTTTCGATATAAAACTGAATGTGAATGCCTGAGAATACTGCGTAAAATTGATTGATATTTGCGAGAAAGAAGACGCAGGAGTCAGATCGACTAGAAGACTCCCTGTTTGCTACTGGACAAAAGCTAAATACATAACGACTCGACTCCCCACCCCCAATTCCACGATTTTCTAAACGTAACAAACTGATAGCTCCTCATTTCGATTAATTTCTACATGCAGGAAACGTACCAATTTCTCTGATGTAATCGATCCAATAAACATAAACAACTTGAACACCGAAAAAACATATCCGTAGACACTCTGATGCACACCCTTAAGGTCAGCCTGAAAAAAAAACAGATAAGGCTATCAAATCCTTTACCATTCTTTATTGCAGAAAAATACTAAGAAATATTTGTCTTGCGTATAAAATTATTGTTTGATACCGTTCTAGCTTTTGAGTCGTGCCGGTTCTTCAGTTATGGACATGCTCCCAAAGGAAAGACATAACAAGCGCATTAGTGTATTGCCAAACTACCGTGCTGTCAATTTTCTATTTGAATCGGGAATAGATTTTCTGGCTGGAAGTCCATTTTTTTTTTCATCTGTAGACTTAGATCATAAACAGATGTGGACGTACGTTTGTCTCTCTTCTCCATGGAAATATTATAGACATTTCATTCTCTAAAATATCACTTTAAGCAGGATTCACTTCTATAATGTACACATATATCAGTGCGTGATCCATTATACGAATAAATACCGAATGAAAGATTTTACTCAAAATTTATCAGTTGTCAGGGTCGTGTCATTTATTTTAGGGACCCTTGCGGAACCGATGAAGCCATCCATCTATAATTGCAACTCTCCCTGCATCATAGGGAGCAGGAGTGTCGGCAATAAAGCAACTACACAGCAGAAAACACTGTTTTGCTTTGATAACCCTTCAAAGGATGACGGATAACGAAAAAAAAAGGAAAGATTTGCTAAAAAAGAATGATTGTATCAGCAACTCTGCTCTCTCTACATTTATTCTGTTGTGACGAACCGAAACCAAGAAGAGCACCTAGCAACAGTGACCGATGATTAACTTATTTACCATTAGTTAAGAGTCAGCTTTAAAAGTCTCAACTGACTATGGTTTACATCTGTTAGATAGCAGGAAAACTATTCTTAGATTGAACGTAAAGCCAGCACACTTAAAATTTAATACAACTACAAAATCTGTACATGGATTTTATGAACTAGCAACGTCAGCTTCGAAAGATTAGACACATTTGAAAGCCATATAATGTGCGATTCCACATGGTCTAAGCAAGACAAGGTGAAAGAGAGTATGGTTTGAAGGAACAAGTTTATGTTCAATATGTTTTACTAGTCAGCCTAAATAGCTGACGAAAAAAATGGCCTTTTAACTTACCTAATTTGTTACTATATGGCAGCAATATACACAGTATGCCACTTGCATGGCCTTAATGGGGAAAGGTACACTCTAGAGTCTAAAATAGTGCATAAATTTTAGTCGCCCTAGTGGCTATTTCCTTAAACATTTGATTTGTCTACTTGAGATACCGTGACAGTATACAATTAACTTGATGATTCCTGACAGTAGTTGTCATAATAGAAGGCGTGATGGAATGTAAACGGGTTACTTTTAGGCTCGAAAAGACGGACGTCGTCAGACGTCCGTTGAGACTCTTGTGCTTCTAGAACCACTTGGTCAAAACAGCCTTCGCTCGGCAAAAAAAATTGAGCAGACTTCTAACCACTAAATCACGACATTCCTCACCCTTTTTTCATCGGTACCCTGTCTTCAAGTTGTCGTTTATTTAATAACTGTTATTTTTGAGGTGGCAGTATAGGACAATATCTAAATCACACTTAAGTAGTCGGCAGAACGAATGGTATACAACATCCATAGTTCTGATACGTGCCCTAAACCAGTCTCATACTGGTGGATAAACACTTCGCAAGTTTCTGATTAGTTTTGACTGACAGAACTGTGGAAGCGAAATATTAACAAGGATATTCGTGGCACCCAATATGTTTCTCTAGGGCACCGATAGTTAATTGTTTGCCTAATTACTATAAATTTAGCTTTACCGCTTTTTACCTATGGAATGGATCGTCCGAGACTTTCCCACAGAGAAAGACCTCTTGCAAAGGGTGTCTATTATAAGCCAGACGAGTGTCTATTCTTTTACCAAACACTTTTCTTTTTCATCTGACACCGAAACAATCAACAAGATGCACCAATCTGCGCAGTTGCCATTATTCCAGTATGCCGTTGCGATTGGTCCCTTGCCGTCTGTTCAAGTTAAATAACGGTAAAGTCATCCTAGAAATAGAGGAAGTCGGGCATTCTATAAAGATTCTTTTGCAAAATAGAACTACACCTTATTCTAATGCTAAGACTCCAATCTGCTACACTTTCTAATTGGCTTAAACATTTACCCGAAAAGTTTTATTTCACACACTCACACACACACCCACACACAAATATACATGTACAACGCTTACGCTCAAAAAATCATGCTTATTTTTAATGAGTAAACCTGTTTCAAAAAACTCTGACAATTAGCTTATATTTGTGTTTCATGTTCAAAGTAAAAAAAAATTACTAAAACTAACTATGGCAAGTGGCAAGACTAGTGAGCTATATCTATTGATCAGTATGGGTGGGAGATCATCTTGTTATTGTCATTCTATCTGTGGTACGGATGTGCTTTAGCAGATTCGCTATCAATCAGCATTAACACATGTGGTCATTGCAAACAATGAAGTCTAAATGACCCTTTGCTGTTTTCAGAATGCTTTTGTGATGATGCAATGGCGATGTGTTTGTTTACTGAACTTAAGGGATACTGAGCTAGCCGAGTTTCGACACTAGGGCTTGAAGTAATATTTGAACTAGTTCTAAAGCAAAACCTCTGTATATGGAGTCTAGGGTGGGAACCTCATAATGAACCACTTTGGCAGTGAAGTCTTTAAAATAGAGGAAGCTTTTTAGTCAGGCATAGACGCACCTCGTTTTGGGCTGGAGCCAGTGCTCTAAAAGTAGTGTCTAGCGGAGAAATTGGACGTGAAACCCTAAGTGTTTATCGAAGCCTGTAGCATTTTAGGGAACAAGTGAAGTTCTATCAATCAGGCAATAAATCTACATTCGTAACGTACTAAAGCTGTTTCGGTTGTAAACACAGAATATTTTGTCTGGAAAAGCATAATTATGTATGTAAATGGGAGTGTATACGTCAGCTAAAAAAGTTACCTTCAAACTATAAAATGATCGACTATTCGATATACAATAAGGTAGGTAACTTCTTGTAGAAAAAAAAGTATATTTGGACGCTTTATAGTTACACACATAAACGCGATTGCTAAACTTTCCTTTTTGTCAAAACCCATTTATAATTGCAGCACCTAAGAAAGGCTATTTTGTAAAATAGTGATTGTCGAGCGGCACCTCGTTCTTCCTACCAATGGCCTAATCAGTGTGATATAAATGTTGTATTGTCCCTGAAGTATACGTTACGTAATTGCTAAGATTAAACGAGAGAATCGCACGCCCGTAAAATTTACTATCTATTTTAAAGCGACGCCACAACTTTCTAATTCATTCATTATTTGCGTTACAATGTGCGTAAGAATCATATCACGCATATGGTTTATCATAGACCAGTATTGAAGCAAGCTGACGATAGCCATTTTGAAAGTTATTCTTTAATTATTAGTTAGCTACTTATTAGTAGTAGCCGTCGTAGTAGCAAAGTCTTAGGTGCTACACGGGGCGCCCACGGAGGAGCGTACCGCATTTAGAGGCAAACGGACGACGAAATCCTAGAAAGTGTAGGAGAAACTGCTAGCGATAAGGGTGTCGATAGCCTATACAACCTAGAAAGTACACACTGTAATCGTCCTGGAACGGCCGATACACTTTTCCGCACTCATCAAAGGCAAAGTCACACCCAGGAATAACCCAGCACTCGTCAAGGAAGCGGCTTAACGGCAGAATATGAAGCAGTGGAGTACGTTACCAAAAGACTTCCCAGGAGAATGGACTCGTTGTTTAATCGCTGACCCGGCGGTCCGTTTTCACTGAGCTCGAAAGCAAACGATCAACAAAGTGAAAACAGAAAATGCCACATGTGTGACGTGTAATGTAGACGTTGTTGAAGATGTGACACGCATTGTCCAAGGCTGGTGTTTTTTGTCTCGTCATATTCGGCTGCTCGATTTGTTTGTTGGTGAAGTATTACTCTTGGAGACGATAAGAAGCCTGTTCAAAATAAACCTCCATAAAGTCAGGAAGGGAGAAGCGAGAGTCGAAGAAAAAAACGACATTGAAAGGCGGGTTTATGAAAAAAAAAAGGCCTATTATTTGTGTATGAGAATGGTGCCAATAGGGAGAAGCAGGATAATTTATGTAATTTAAACTAGGGCAGTGATATATTGGTCACCGTAAATGTTGTGGTGATTACTCAATACAGTAAATGTGTTGAACACTTTTATTAAAGCTTGATTTTCAACGTCCAGCTGATTATCCAGTATACTGCATTATTCTCTGGTATAAGGAATGAATATGTTATATCATATTATGGACCCGTTTTGTTTTACTGCCTGCAGCTCCATGTGTGGAAGTTGTGCTAGGAATATGAAATAGTAAGGCCCTTTGTTTCTAAGCACATGCGAATCGTTTGCAATTTATACCTTCAGATTGGTCAGTGGAAGTAGTTGAAGTATCGTATGGATGTTACACCCTTTACTTAGACTTCATGAACTTCTATCTATATTTGAAAGTGACTGAGTTACAGTTGCGCTGAGTGTAATTGTAAGGTAGTCTTCCGACGAGGCAGAGCAAGTAATCGATGATCCGAATATTTGCATTTCCGGCTACCAATGTCTATGGTAATGGTAACAATGTTTGCTCAACGTAGTCTGCCGAAACATTTGGCATTAATTCATCCATTGATTCTCTGTGATGATGCTTTACATATTGAGGGCCCTTCACGTCAGAGAGTGCCCTACACGAAGTAAAGCTCACTTCTACCGTCCTCGAAGCGCGCACTATCGATCAGTGAAAGTCGACTATCTATTGGTACTGGCAGCGCACATAACTCATATGATTCCCATATGCTGTCTCAGATACGATCTACATCTATCGATAATAATGCATACATAACGTCAGTTTCAGCACTCGCCGTCACGCGATATTTTGGCACAAACGGCGGCCAATCTTTTCCGATCAGTGTTAATAAGTGTATTTTATTGCCAATTATCTAAAGCTACCAGAAAACAGTGCTTTCTGGTAGCTTTAGATTGGGGTGCGTATGGGAATCTCAACTAGGCATAAAATGTCACATAGTAATACTATTATACAGATGTCAAAAGTCATATATTTGTATGTATATCGGTTGATTATGTGTTCGATGTAGTTATAAGCTGCGAGTTGTGCAGTTAGCTTCTGTCAATGGACCAAAAGTCAAACTCCTTTTGAGGAATCTAGCCGTTTTACAACAGTATTACGTATCACAATGTATCGCAATAATGTACGTGTGGCTCCAGTCCAAACTCGTTCGCTTTTCGTAGAAGCACGTTTGCCCCGGTCGTAAGACTGAAAAACCCATTATTTTAAGCCGTAACGAACATTACATATGACGAAGGTATTGTTGGCGGTACCACTAACAGATACGATTGTGTCGTGACTAGCTGAAGCTCATTCCCAGTCCTTTTGTGCATGCTTTTCTGATCAATCACAGTATCCTAACGAATCAGTATTCCATGGTTCACTGATACATTTCTTACACAGTACGATTCATCAACATAACTCACCAAAGTGGGATAGAATGGTGCCAATAGGGAGAAGCAGGCCGAAAACCAAAACTGCGAATGAAGCACGGGTACCAGCCATTTCTTGCGCCACAGCCATTTAGCGGCCTGCTGGATTGAGGAAAGAAAGCCTGACACTGGGTCGGGAAGTCGGGACGGCGTGGATATGGCCGAAACGGCAGACGCTCGTGACAGCCCGGACATCGTAGAAAAGCCGGACGTCGAGTCCAGGGGACTCCGTCGTGGAGGAGCATTTTCCATGGTCACAAGGCTTCAGAGTGGAGAGCTTGTTCGGCGTTCACTGTCCGTGCTAGAATAACTTCTTTGCCCAGCGCGATTCGTTTAGTTGGCATGAACTGTGAGTCATTCTAGAGCGCCGGACGCCTGCTACAGATCCGTGTTGATAGTAATGAGCAGGCGACACGACCTCCTTAGCAGCGGAAAGAGTTACTAGAAAATATCACAGAGAAGGTACTCGCTCGCTAGCAGTTAATGCTACAATCGTAGCCATACCGGCGGCGGCAGTATCGGCGACCTTTCGTTTACATATGCTATTATAGCATTTTGTCGCACGGATCATAACGTCCGTCGGTACGAACGTCGGCTGTCTGTCAGTGGTGTGAAAGAGGGATAAAGGTAACACGGACTAGCGAGGAAGAATGCCCACCACAGTAGTTAATTCCCGTAAAAATGGCCCTATATCGACGGGCAAGTGACAAAGCGTATGCATAACAGGACATCGATGGCTGGATCAACTATGTAGGCAGAAAACACTTCGTCTCGACGCGCAGTAATGGTAGGCACGCGTAGTAGACGCAGGGCTGTCAAAAGTAAAGATACTGAGCAAACGAAAAGAGAGAACTAGGTTCAAGAAAAGTCTGTTACTAGATCATGTTCCATGTTAACGGTCAGTGAGGTCGCTATGCAATAACTGCATATTGGAAAGTAGATAATTCACCTAGAAAATAGATATGGCGTTCTTCATTTCCAGTAGGTTAGAAAGTGTTTCAGCTGTGGCCTGGACAAGAGCATAGCGAATTCATTGACATACTCTTCCCGCCATTTGTCAACTTGCACCTATTCCGTGCAATGCTACCTTCTATCTATGTGAATCAATCGTTTTCATTATTAGTAGCTATATAAAAATCTTCCACTTCCTTGGGTTGTATTAAATTGTAAATAATGCAAGTACATTCTTTTCGAATAATTGCCCTAAACGTTCTCACCCTGAAAATCATTTTCATCAAGATGCCGCGAAAGGTAACATTTAGCTGAACTGCATGAGTATTACGTCAGCACCATTTCGAACACATTCATTAAAAAACCAAACTTTTTTCTAATAATTTTTTGGAAATTACTAATGCGTCAAAGGTATGATTTGCTTGACGGCTTGCTGTTACCCGCCATCTAGCAAGCATATTGGGGTGATAACCAATCTGATATAGGATGAGCTTTCCAAAGCGAGCTACGCTAAACTATTCGGTAGCGTATGCACAGACAAAATGTCTACGAAATACTTTTTAACATTTTTAGACGACAATTTAACTTAGTTGTACGTATGCGGCGTTGAGGAACGTGCCAAAAGGCTGGTCCGCCGTAGTCAAAATGGCGGCACAATGGAGTATGGTAAAGAAATTAACCATTCGCTATGGTATTTTAGACTGGCTAACGCTGTTTAAGGTAAATTATTAGGCCAACGGAAACTAAACAGAATAATGTCAAGGGTTTGGATCTATTTGGTTTACATTGTCTCTCTTACGAAGATACAGATATTAGAATCTACGACTACGCTAAGTGCTGTTACAAAAAAATGGGACTGTCCCATATTCCCTTTACTATCTTAAACACATGGAATATATAGAATTCTCTATTCCAGATCAACAACACAGGTTCGATAATGCCTAGAACATAATCGTTTAAATGGGCGAAAAATCTATTATCTTACAATTTTTTTCATTCCATTTCAGCTAAGAAAGTAGCAGAAGCCACTTATGTATGTATAAGTTTGAAACCACAGCCGAGGCATAGTCAGTCGTACTGAACGCTGTATCTTTTCTGTTTTTTGCTTAATTCCTCTACTACAAGTAACTAAGTTGTTTTTGTTATTATTATGCTGTATTTGACATTATATAT